ACACACACACACACACACACACACACACACACACACACACACACACACACACACACATCATACACACACACATAAAAAAAAGATCTAATTTTCATCATTATTTCATAGAACTTCGGTGGATGGTCCATTTACGGGAATTGGTCTGCAGAGAACTATGACTTCTTTGAAGACCTTGTCGTAAGCAAAATTGAATATGGCTCGGGAGCCTTGTTCTCCTGGGGTGTTGCTGAAAATGATAAGAATTCGTCATCACATATTTTACAAGTAAGTGATTGTTGTAAGGCTACATGGAGAGATAAAAGGGAAGTAGAGAGGACATGAATATGGAGTTGATTAATTGAGAAACTGAGATAACTCTTGTAAGTGATGTTGGGAAAATATATTCTGCGTGTAAATACTCATTACTTGATTTCTGTTTCAGTTTGACCAGGGAGGGCTCACTCTTGCAGCTCGGAATTCATATCTAAATGAGTCAGAAAAAGAGGTTTTGGATGCCTATGAACAATATATTGTAAAGGTAAAAACACTGGTTTTAATTTGATAGTTCAAATAATGCTAATTCATGTTAGCTTTTTAGTGAGGTTCTTTTTGTTGGAGTTTGTGTAGATTCTAGTGTATAACTTTACAGGCATGCACATGCACTAGCATATATGCATGTATTAAGGAAACAAAGGAAAAGCAGTATATTTAAATATGATCACTCTGTGGCTGATTGTCAAACTGCCTTTGAGACATTATATGACTAGCATGGTTAATGAGAGTACAACCAGAAAATAGTGCCTGTGGTCAAATCTCTTAAATTAATTCCACAATCTTCATCGTATCCACTGTGATACATTCCCATTTCATACAGTGCCCTTTGTTTCTTTGTTGCACTTGCACTTCAGAACAGTTCTTTAGAATGTGATCTATTTCCTAGTTTACTACACCCTGTGAGCATCTCCTAAGTTTTCTTAACTATATTTGATCTTGTTTTACCTACTCCAAATCTTTCCGTTTAGGTGTAATTTGGTGATGTCCCATTTGGCCCCTGGGCCTTGCAGGGCACTGTTTAGATGTGTTAAGGTTTTGATCTCCCAGTATTTTCAACTTATAAATGAGGGGACATTAACTTTTGCAGCGCATCTGCTATCTTATTATGGGTCTTACATGCAATGTAATTCATTTTATTCTGGAAGGGTCGGGTCTATTAAAAAGTTATATTTTAAAATGCAGGGATCATACTTTGAGTAAGGGGCATGTGAAGGGCAAACTGAAATTAAAACTGGATATTTGCAAGTATACAGATTTCCTATAGTATTATATTCATGTATTATATGGAGTTCTTGTATAGATTAAGATTATGATAAGAAAGATAAGAAAGAGTTAACAGAATACTAAATGTTAGTAGAAAAATATGTTTTCATCCCACCTCCTAAAATGTTTCACAGGTTGGAATACTCCTTGGAGGAGAGGAAGAGGCCACTAAGAATGCTGCTGCTGGGATCTTACACATTGAACAGAAATTAGCTGCCATCACAACACCAGATGAAGAGAGAAGAGATGATGATAAGATGTATCACCTTATGATGATAGAGGATCTCAATAAATTATCAAAAGCTGTATGAATTTACATACTTACATAACCAAATATACTGACAGATTTTGATGTAGTATGAAATAGTTGTAACCGTAAAGATTTTAATCTATAACAATTTTGTTAATTAAATATTTCTTTTTTTTCCAGATTGACTGGGGAAAGTTTATAAACAAAGCATTTAGCAAAATTGAAAAGAAATTGGACAGTAAAGAACACATAGTAGTTTATGCCAAAGAATTCCTTTCAAATCTTACAGTAATTATTAAAAATATTACTGAGACGGAGCAAGGAAAAATGTGAGTGATATTTCAAGTGGCGTTCCATAAACTCGAGCATGATTTTTCTGTTACTTTGAACTTTTATTTGAAAGAACTGCTTTTAAATAAAATCTTGTTAATAAATCAGATGTAATGTTCTATATTAAGAATTGTTAATGCATATCTGATAGATACAATGGAAAATAGTAATGTTAATTACTCATTGATGAATAACTCATTCCTAAGTAATGTCTATAGTAGGAATTGATAAAAACTGAGAGGTAGGGAGTGAGTGAGACATATCAGCATGATTGTGTGGATGCATTTGAGACATAATGATGGTATTTTCTGTCCTTGATATCTTGCTCAAAAGCCTTGAAGAATCCAAGTGACTGGCTTGAACAGACCACAGGTCAACTGTGTGAAACATTATGCAACTGAAACTCCATACTAAAGCATTGCCAAGGCAATGGAAACAAAAAAAATCAGTTTGTACCTGTCCTAGTCCCATTATCAACCTTCTCATTCATTCTTCATTCTCTTCTCACCCATGCCAGGGAGGTAGAAGAGCATACGGGCATAGCTCCATTATTTTTTTTTCTGTGTCTGTGTTTTCCAGTGTGGTGTGTTGGTGAGATGGAACTTTTCATCTGTTTTTTGATGGTGAGTGTTACATTGTGATTATCTTCTTAAGATCTTTCTTTTCCTTTTGGCAGCTTGTGTTTCCATATTCTTTTGCCCTTTTCTTTTCTTTTTTTCCTTGTACATCTTCCTGTTGCAGGGTCTTTTGTTTTTCCCCTCCTTCATCATCTTGGTATTTCTTCCCCTTTCCTGAATTGTCATGGGAAGAGAAAAAGGGGTGTAGTGTGGTGTTTATGAGGCCCTCCAGCTTCCAGATCTTTCAGTTGATATCTTAGAGACATGGAATATGAGGCCAAAAGTGGGACATGTTTATTCTGCAGTTTTCTTTGCAGATGTAGGTGAAGAAGAGGGATGCTTACTCCACTTTTTCTTTCTCTGTTCTTTGTGATTTACAGGGATGTGCCTTCTTCCATCCTTTGCTGTGGTCAAAGGTTATCTATGGGGTCTATGGGGATATACTGAGGGGGATTTTTTTTTCTTCAGAATGCTGATCAGATTGCCCTGTTCTATCTCCCACAAGGGCCAGTGTTAAATAAGCATCTATTGGACAGTCTTGATGACTCTGGGTCTTGTTTTTTTATGGGCACGAGCAAAGTGCCTCATGTCTGTGATGTGGATTGAGTTCCACATTGACATGTCTGAGTACACACTGGATTCTCAGTGATTCATGTTAGAAAACTAGACCAGGAAGACCATGCTTTGCCCTGCAAAAGCAGCTACTGTTGGGTGGATGTGGTATATTGTGAACATATAATACACTGTGCAGCTCACAAGAGAACAGCCAGGGTTTCTATAGTGTTTGTGAAATGCCATTGCAATGAGTTCCTCTTCCTGCTGCCAGGGGTTTTCTGGTAGTACTTATGAAGTACACCATGCTTTGCCTTGTAGAACAACTGCTGCTCTCCACAAATTGGCTGAGTTAGGATTCTCCGTGGTGATGTCTATATCATCCCTGAACAGGGCAGGCAGGCAATGTTTGACTAGGATATGAGTGGTATTATGTGTGTTATTCATTAGTCCCTTGGAGTGAGCCAGACACCAGCACCTTGCTTATCACTTAGGTAGTCTGCATATTCCTGGTTTCTTTCTCGTTTCTGCTGGGTAATGGGACTAGCATATAGGGCCTCTCTTTCTGTCCATTTATGCTCTGCAGTTGCTTATCATGTTTAGTTACCAACTTGTGTGCCTGATCCCATGCCTGTTGTCCACATGTGGTCTCATGTTCTCTTGCTTTATTTCTGACTCTTGTTCTGTTATCCTTTCATTAATGGACATTAATGGAGTGGTGCTTGAGTTTGTTCATGTAAATGCATGTCTTGTTTTAGTGTCAGTTTTTTGAGATATGTCCTTTTTGTTTTCATCAATTTATTTTGCTCAGGGAGCGACAAGCCTATATGCTACAAATGAAATGGTTACAGAGTATTTGTGACATGCAGGACACGCCATGGATAAACCATAAAAGGAGAAATGAAATAGTCACATAATGATAAACAATGGAAACTATTGGAATAAAAATAGTATTAACAGCCACCAAAATATGGGTATTGTTATGTCCTTTGTGCCAGCTTGATCATCAAGATTAATCCTTTTTTAAAAATCTCAGATGATATTCCTTCCCCTAGTCTGTGCCAGGGGTGAATGCAGGAAGTTCATAAAGTTAGAAGGACACTTCCTGCTTTTTCAAGCTCTTTGTGTAATGTCAAGTATTTTGCCATCTGCATAAGATGAGGCTTGGATTTTTTTGCCTCTCTAGGTGTATTAGCCTACATTTTGTTTCCTAAAACCATGTAGTTGGTACCTTCCATAGGGTATTCCCTTGCTGGTTCCATGATGATTATGAGGCTGAACCACAGACACCAGCGGGCATGCAGAAGTTCTCTTGCATCTTTACTTCCCTCCTTTGCTCTATGCTGACAGGCTTTTTGTCTCATGGCAATCCTTGGCTGTTCCATAGAAATGGACTAGTATAGGAAGGCTTGGGTGCTCTCTGTAGCCCATATTAGTACCTCACTTTACACTGTCTCCACAGGATGTCATGAACTTAAGGTGGCTGTTTCCCCTTTAGTTGTGAAATCATTCCATTGCCATGTTGATATTTCTAGGTTGGGTGGTGTATCCTCTTTCCTTCATATGGATTTGAGTTTTCTTGGATGTAGTTTCATCATCCTTGCTAAACATTGGTTTCAGGTTATCTTTTGATAAATTCCCCTGCCTGTTCTACCCTTGGCTTCCTTGTTGGATTTGATGTGGTTTATGTCACTAAGTTTTTGATGCCTGTTTTAAGCACCAAAGCATATTTTATGGCTCTGTATTCATATAATACTTCAAGAATTTTCATTCTGCTCCTTTTTACTTTATTTTAGGAGAAATTGTATAGTTAGCAATTTTCCAGATACAAAAGACAATCAATACTTATATTCCCCATGAGTAGGATATTGATCAGAGCTCAGGCAGATTAATACCTGGTAACTATAAGTGACTTTGTGGAGCTTCCTGTATGAGTGTATGATCCAAATCATTGC